AGTGTTTCTCAACCTTAGCAACTTGAAGATATGTGGACTTCAACTCCCAGAATTCCCCAGCCAGCCATGACTTAAAGTTGCATCTTTTAAACCCGAACAATATGAATTTACGTCATTGAAACATCGTAATGTTTTACTTATATACTGCTGATGAAGGATGGTGAAGACTGGCAGAGAATGCTTATCTAATGAGCAAATAACATAAAATATCTTACAAGACAGGCATAAAATTCAAAACCACCTTGATAGGGTGGTGAAATAGAATCAATGTTAATAGTGACAAACAGACTTCTTCATTTAGGAAACAGAACTGAAATTCACACTTATAGGATGGGGATACTGGGCTTGAAAATAGTGCTTAGAAAACAATCATGTAGTTGAGTGTAGACTGAACCCTCCCCCATCCAAGACCAATGTCCCATGCAATTTTAGGCTAAAGCAACAGAGATACGGTTTCCAAATCATGAGAAGCAATCATGCCACCTCATTTTGCATTGGACCAATACTCCAACTTGAGTATCAGGTACCACAGATCCGTGAAACTGGAACAGCTTCAGAGAATGGTAATGAGGAAGACCAGGCACTAAAAATTAAGTCCCAGGGAGTGAGTATTGTAGCTTTTAGAAAAGTTGGCTGAGAGGAGATATGATAGGACTGTTGAAATACCTACAAGGATATCACACAGAAGAAAGTCAAAACCTGTTGTCCATCATTCTAGAATGCAGGACATGGAATAATGGATTTAAATTACAGGATGGAAGATTCTGATGGAATTTTAGAAAAAAACTTTCTAACAACAAGAGCAGTGTGACAGTGAAACCAATGATCCTGACAGAGAGCAGGCTTCTGTAGACAGGATATGTTCAAAGGGAGGCAGAACAGCGATCTGTCAGCGATGCTTTAATCTGGATTCTCGCACTGAGCAGAGGGTTGAACTCAACAGCCTAATAGGTCCCTTCCAACTTAGCAATCTTTGATTAAATAATTAAATATTTTAAAGTAGAACTACAGATTCTGTCCATTTTTACTTGTGTTCTCCAGCTAGCTTTAATGCCATTATTGGACTGCTTCTGTGGTATGCTGGTTTATTTTGTAATAATATGCTATTAATTTTTGGATGATTTCCAGAACAACTAAAGTAAAGGCAAGGGGAAAAAAAACATTTAAAAGAATCCTTCCAGTCTGAAACAATGCTGTAATAAACTTTACTTTTGGAAAATTTGTCCCTCCCTGCAAAAGAGATATTTTTTGCCCTCTCCTGCAAGAGGAGAGTCGAGCAAGGAGTTGAACAGACAATATTATGTGCTTCCTGCAATGTTGCGGAGCTACATGGGCACAGCCACAGCAGAAGAACCATGGGTATCATCAGTAATAAGTAGGTAAGACAAGGAAGAGGAAACGTTGGGACAGTACAAAGCAACCTTCTATGAACAGCCTAAGGTGAACAAACTCAGAATTAAATAAAAATGTTAATTTAACTGAAGCTTGCAGGTGATTTCAGCTAATGAAGTACTCTGCACAGGAATGTGTACATACAAATAATTTCATAAGCAAAGAAGAGACATCAGTTTCTGCAAGGGAGCTACAGAGGCAAGTGTTGAAACATATGTCATGATATCACAACACATACTTGACTTAGATACTTCTATCTGATATTGGGACATAAGTATGAATGGCTAACGTACTGCATCATTTTTCCATCATCTTAGTTTGTAGTTGATACCATGAGAAAAGATCAGGTCAGGACCCCTGGTTTTTTTTTTTTTTGGTGGGTAGGGGTCTTTGCAATAAGGGAAGGATAAGCCCCCAGTTCTTCCCTTCCTATCTTCTTTCACAGACCTGTTCATTTTGGCCCACCTCATCCAAAAGATGTAAATATGGAGAATGAAAGAGCTTGGGAAAAATACTTCCTAGAACAGATTTAAAGTTCTTTCTGCCTTTATGGAATTCTTTTTACAACAGTTTGACTTTTGATGAACCCCTTTACAATTGTACACTGCAAATAATTGTGGAATATGTTTCAGGAAACAAATTCAGTTCCCGGGCATCAACTAAGGAAACACTTTGGGATATACCTGATATCCACCTGAAAACCTGGACTGCACATAAAAATCAGGAGGGCCAGTGATATTTTATTTTTCCACTATGAGGTATTGCTTATTTTGAAGAACCACGGTTTTCTGGATCATATTTTAAACATCAGCGCTTTGAAGCCAAATATGCTAGGAAAGTGATAGAGGTCACCATGAGGTACAGAAGTCACATTGGCCAAAGTATTCTGTGTCTAGAATTCCCGTTCCCAACTTACTTGACAATGGCTTGACCTCTTGTCTGCCCATTCAGCTTCTTGTAATGTTCAATTACTCGATCCTCACTTGGAAGAAGAGAAATAGAATCTTATTACATTTAGCAGACACAGTTGAAAAAGTATGATGGAATTCCACAGTAGGAGAACCATCTCATCAGTGATCAAGTCAAGAAATCTCAAAGATCTCTGCACGGATAAAGCAACAGAAACCGGAAAAGCAATGCTAGCCATCCTACAATATATTCTTCCATTAAAAAGTCTTTACTTTTATAAAATAAAAACATTAGCAATAGAGAAGTAGAAATTCAGGAGGAGTTGAGTCCCAGGTCATGTAATATTTGAAAAGGGTTGAAGTTTTCTTCACATTTTCTCCTATGCCACTCTGTTGACAAAAATGGTAAGGAAGCACCATATATTATTAAGTTAAAAAAAAAAATTCTCATACTGAGAAAGTCTCATGAATTATATTCAGTATCTTAGAATGATCATGGTCATATAATTTAATAAAAATAGGGTCCCGTTTGTTTGCTTTTTTGTGACTGAGAAAGACCTTCAATACAATCCAGACTTACAGAAAGAGTACAGGCTTACACAGAAGAGTACACTGCTAACCACAGTTATGAATCAGATATTTCAATTCAAGGATTGTATACTCTCATCTGTTTTGAGTTCTCTCTTCCTTAATGATGGTTCAGTGTTACACCTGCATTGACATCCTGGTTGATTGTAATCAGGTTCAAACAAGCAACCTCTAAGCAGGTTGGTTCCCCACTTTCCCCAACTGTCACTGTCTTCTTTCAATGCTTGTGCACCATTTTCCTGCTCTTCACTTCTCCTCCCATCCCATGTCCCTACTGTTCTCTGCCCATTTCCAGTGCTCCTCATATTCTTGTTCTTCTCTGTTTTTTTATCCTTTTCAGTCCATTCCTTGGCTCTATCTGTGCTCAGCATTGTGTTTTTCCCAACCCTTCCTCCCTCCCTTCCTCCCTTCCTTCCTTCCTTCCCCTTCCTGCCCGTATCTACATGTTGTTGTTGTTGTCATCATCAGTGGAATGTTGTGTGAAGGAATATTTACAACTGTGTATTAAGTGTTGTATGAGAATGAAGGAGTAGGTACATTTGAATGCCTTTGTGTTGGTCTTGGATGGCAGAGCCCCAGGTCAGATCCTCACTTGATCAAGTCACTCTCTTCCAACTGCCTCAGAGTGTAGCTGTGGGAATAATGTTAGGGTTGATTCCATCCTCTAGAAGCTGCTTTGAGCTTTAAGAGAAAAGATGGGAGCGATGCATTAAAAAAAGAATGATAACCCTAAAAGGTCAGGAAGGTATTACAGAGTTTGAGAAATTTCCCAGATAGACTCAACAACCTTACTGGAATTTCATAGATTAAACTGTGGAGAACTTTCTGCAGAGTTTTGCCCTGGTTTAACACTAATTTTGCAGAGAAATGGGTCAGTCATTCCAATGAGTGGGCGGGCAAGGGAGAGAATAAATAAAGATCACCCAACCACAAAATGAAAATCACATTCCCTTGCTGTCATCAAATTACAACACTGAAGAAATTAAAGGGGAAGCAGATAAGAGGGCTTGGAGCCAAAAGCTTTTAAAAAAAACAACATGAAAGACTCAGATGCAGCACCGCAGCACAAGTCTGTCTCCGCTTCCTGAACAAATTCATATTTGTGTTGATGAAAGGGATGGGAGAAGGGCTTTTCCTTAGGGCTTTCCATTTATTTTAAATTGGATGCTTCCATCTCTTATAATGCGCCAATGGATTTAATTCTCAACCTAGCAGGAGGAGAAAATGGGAAAGCCCAGAAATTATTCATAGGGCAGAGTATCTGTAAAACTCCCTGTAAACCTCCTGTCTCTTGTACTGGAGAATTTTTGTAGTATGTACACAATGCAAAGGGGGAAAGGCGGGGGGGCGGGTTGGAAACAGCTCTTGCTTATGTTACAGAGTTAGGACGAAGCAACCCGTTGAATATCCACTTGGTGAAAAATCTGGGAATGTTTAATTGTTCGGATGCTAGGAAGGATCCTATAAGACCAAGGGCAGCAAAATCCCATGGGGAGGTGCAGCAGCTGAAAACCAAAGAGCAGACCAGCTGCAGCCCTCAAGGGCTGTGTCTGTATGACCCAGTTGTGTTTGCATTTGCACTGCCTTTAAAGCTTGGCTAGTTCGCTTGTGGCACAGTGGGTAGAGTGAACCCAACCCATTGGATTAATTAAGATTCCTGACCTTGCCAAAATTCCAGAGAAGCAGCTGAGAGAAATTCTTCTGAGACATTACATCAACTCCCTGCTCCTCCACCCAGTGGCCTTGTGGCTCACCAGCTCAGAAGTAGCTGAGGTCTTTCCATCTTGAGAAGTGTTTGGGCTGTCTCTTCTGAAGGGCTGACTGGTTCAGCAGGGATTTCCCAGCAGTGGCAACCCTAAAGGGGGTGTCACCAAGGACTTTTAAATAGTTAACTGTTAGTGTGTGGATGAGTGTGTCTGCATCTGTGAGACTTGGGGTGGCCATTACAGTAGTGATAGGGAACAGAAGGGGCATTAGTAGGTTGGTGGATCATTACAAGGGGAGCTTGCTAGGTGGTTGCCTCAATGGCATCTAAGTGTCTTTCCAATGTGCTTCAACACTGCCTCTCTGATACAGATGAACTATGGGAGCTGAAGCAGCAAGTTAGAAGGCTAGAGGGCAAGTGAAGATCAAACTTGATTTTGATAAGCCACAGCAGAGAATCCATTAGAAAATTTATGATATGTGCAGCAAAGACCCTATTGCACATACTGCATATCCCGATGAGCTGCTTTAGTTTGTGAGGGGGCTGTTGTATATTCCTATC